TTATTTGTTTATTTGACAGGGACAGTACAAGAAAACATTGCCAGCTCAGTGGCCGATGTTATGTACATAAGGCGTCTAGCCATAGGCTAATTTGCAGCCCCCGTCCCTGGTTAGGCTTTTCAAAGGGGTTTAAAACAGAACAGAAAGATGAAAAATCAGTAAAAGGCATCAAACAATACAACAATAAAAAGAAAGAGGAGAAGACATATCTGACCACTTCCCATCCCTTTTCCATCCCAAGTCCTGTTCAGTGCTCACACTTTTGTTTGTTCTTTAGCCACAGCTTCAGCTTTTGTGAGAAAAGTCTCAGGTCCATTTGGGACTTTAGCTCCAGTGGTAAAGAGTTCCATAACTGTGTCCCTTTTACTGAGAACGCAGACTGACCCAGAGCAGTTTTACAAAACTTCACTCTGCAGTTCCCGCTGACTCCAGCTCTGGTGCTCACTCCTTGATTAGTGTATTTTTGTACTAACTGACACATTACAGACGGAGCAAGACCATTAAGACACTTGAATATATTTTTATAAAAGAGAAACTGACGAAGCTATCGAATGTCATCAAATTTTTGAATGATAGTGCAGTGATGCCACTTCATTGGTTTTTGATCAAACACTTTAAGTGTTTGCTTGTAGAGTGATGTTAAAGGCTTTAGGACAGATTGTGAGGCCTGGCCCCAAATGAACAATACGACATATGAGATAAAATCATAGCATGTAGATATACTCGTGCCGCCTGAGTTGATACACAAGACCTAATTATACGGAAACAATTTAAATTTGTCTTGATGGTCTTAGACATTTTTCTGACATGGGCATCAAACTTCAGTTTAGAATCTATAATAACCCCCAAATACTTAAACTCATCAACCTGCTCAATTTTATTTTTGTCAATATTAATGTTTAGATCATTTGGTGAATTTCTCTTTAGAGAGAAACACATGGCAACAGTTTTAGTATAATTTAAGGTCAGACAGTTGTCCCGCAGCCACTGAGATGTGCTGACAAGCTGTCTGTTCAACAAGTCTGAAGCCTGTTTAGGGGAATCTGCAGCTACATAAATGATTGTGTCATCTGCATACAATTGGCAGCTGGTATTTTTGCAGATTTCCGGTAAATCATTTATGTATAGACAGAACAACAAGGGGCCCAATATCGACCCTTGTGGTACACCTAAATTACATTTTTGGATGGTAGATTTAACACCATTTATTTTTACACACTGTTGTCTTGATGCAAGGTATGATTTAAACCAATTTAAAGCTTGTTTGGAAAATTTTAGTTGTTTCAGTTTTCTCAAGAGTACTTGGTGGTTTACAGTATCAAAAGCTTTTTTTAAATCGAGAAATACTGCTCCCACACATTTACCTTTATCCAAACTAGTTTTGATGGTTTCTGTAAAGTGACATACAGCCATCTCAGTGGAGTGCTTTGGTCGAAATCCAAATTGTTTAGGGTTTAGTAGACTATGTTCCTCCAAGTAGTTCATCAACTGTTCAGCCACAAGCTTTTCTAACACTTTGGAAATCACAGGTAAAATTGAGATCGGTCGGTAATTGCAAGCTTTATCTGTAGCTCCTGATTTAAAAATTGGAGTCACAACAGCCGTTTTGAGATTTTCAGGAAATTAATTATTTTTGATTGATAAATTCACTAAATGTGATACTGGTTTTAACAATTCGTTACTATACTTTTTGATTAAATGTGTATCCAAATCAAAAAGGGTTTGGCTTTTGAACTATTTAATTGATTAATAATTGTATGGATCTTTTTTTGATCAGCTTGTGTGACATTAAAGGATGAATTTGAATCTTTCACATCATTACATGCTACAGAAATTGAATTGAAACATGCAGCAAGCTTCTCCACTGAATCAACAAAATAGAAGTTAAATTCATTTGCAATTTCCAAAGCATTACTACTGATCGTTCCATTTACATCCAGTTTAGTTATGCATTTACTCTGACTCGAATTACGATTGGTCAATTTATTAATGTGCTTCCATATAAGCAAACTGTTTCCATGTGATTCAGCAAACAGATGCATGAAATAAGAGGACTTGGCTTTTCTTAATTCACTAACAACTTTATTCCTTAGTCCCTTAAAGACCAGTATATCTGTCTGTAATTTAGTTTTGATCGATTTTTTCAGTGCTAGATCCCTCTTTTTCATAAGTTGATAAATATGATCAGATATCCATGGCAGGGTCACTTTCCTCCTGTTGGTTTTTGAAACGCGAGCAGATTTCTGAATTACATTTTTCAGTTTCTCTGTTAAAAAAGTAGAGCACTGATTTACATTTTCCATTTGTGTCACATCGTTCCAGTTTATGTTTTTCAATTCAAGTTCAAATAAGGGCTGTTTATGTTTTGGAATTATTTTTCCATTTTTAATAACGGACACAGGGTGAATTCCCTCCAGTCGCTTCTTGGTTAGTTTTCGCACAATCAACGTCAAATTATGATCAGATAGACCTGTCACAAAGTTGTAAGTTTTAGTAACTCGTTCTGATTTGTTTGTAAAAATCAAGTCTATTAAAGTTTGACTAGACCGAGTAATCCTTGTTGGATTTTTAACAATTTGAAGCAGTTTATGTTTTGATGCTATAATTTTTAGTTTGTCTTTTCTCCCATTCTCCATCCAATTGATATTAAAATCTCCCATTAAAATTGTTTCACTTTTTATATTAATCTGTTTTAATAGTTCATCAAAATCACTATAAAAAGATACACTATGAGATGGTGGGTTATATAAAACCATAATATTAAATTTCATTGTAGGCGATAGCTCAACGTTTAATCCAAGGCATTCTATTCCAAAAGTATTAAAATCAATAACTGAACATTTAAGTCTATCTCTAATATAAATCAGAACCCCTCCCCCTTTTCCATTTGGACGATCTTTCCTATAACATGTGTAACCAGGAACATCAATCATGTTTGTTGAGATGTTACTATGTAGCCAGGTTTCACTCATGGCTAAGAAATCTAAATATGAATTACTCAGTAAATGGTGAACTTCATTTAGTTTTGACAGAACACTTCGAATATTAAGATGACCTCCAAATATACCTTTAGGTCTAGCTTTTGCATCCCAAATCACCTTTGCATGATTCACAGTTTGAAAATATTTCAGTTCTTTTTGCTTGTTGGACGCATATCCAGAAATCTTTTTAGCACTTGATTTTGCTTGATTTTCAAGGTGAAAAGCAGAGAGAGACTGGATGGTAGCTGCATTTTCCATTTCAGGGTTTGCAACATTTCCAACAACTTTTGCTGCCGCATCCAAAGGGCTCCCATTTAACTTCAATGAAAAATCTTCATCTTGTGCAGCAGTAGTAAGGGTCCTCGCAATTGCAGAACTAGGCATGTCCACAAGATGGTGCTGTAGACACTCTTCAGTGTGTAATTCCACAAATAAACTTGAGCAAATGTTCTTTAAAGGACCTGGATTTAGTTGTATGTCACCACTTAACAGGAGCAAAAGGAGAAGCAATGTACAGAAGGATCCCTTCTTCCTGCTCCTCAGTTGTTTAGACTTGCTTGTGGTGCAAAGTTCGTGTTTATTTTGCCAGCATGTTGAATACAAAACATGAAATCCATATCCAAAAAAGCCTAGAGATGGTTTCACAATCATTGGTACAGCATGAGTTGGCCTGCATATTATATCCTGTTTAGTCCAGCATGGTCCCAGTAGAACACAAAGATACCAACAGCAAACTAGCCACACAAAGACATACCTTTCGTAGCTTTTTGCTTTCTCTTTGGAATTGTATTGGTGTTTACTCCTTCTTGAACTGGGGTGTAGTGGTGTCCAGATATAGTCCATGAAACACCAGAGATGCTGCCAACATAATTGCCATGTGCAGTTGTATCCTTTGTCTCTTGTGCTACAGTTTGGAGTTGGAGTTCTTGGTTCTTTTGTCCAGTTTAAGACTTCTGTTCCACACAAGTAGAGATGTTGAATAGTGTGGACAAGTCCAACCAAATCGAGCACACAAAACTTAAGCAACAATGGAAATACAAAAGCAATAGTGGAGCCCAACAAACCACCACTGCTCATGGCAGCCATCTTGAATATTTTGACACTGTCGACCATGAGATCCTCTTACAGAGACTAGAGGACTGGGTTGGCGTCGCTGGCACCGCCCTAAGTTGGTTTAGGTCTAACCTTGAAGACAGGAAGTACTTTGTGGAGATTGGAAACTGTGTCTCAGATCATATGGCCCTGACCTGTGGAGTCCCACAGGGGTCGATCCTGGGACCTCTTCTGTTCAATCTCTACATGCTGCCGTTAGGTCAATTAATACGCAGAAACAAAGTGTCCTATCACAACTATGCAGACGACACTCAGATCTATGTTTCACTGAGACATAGATGCAGGAGAATATGGACCAGTGGACTCACTCCTTTACTGTATCCAACAGATCAGTGAGTGGATGCAAAACAACTTCCTTCAGCTAAACGCAGACAAAACTGAAATGATTGTCTTTGGTCCCCAGAAACAAAGATAGAGCATCATCTGTCATCTACAGTCTCTCTCCCTAAAACCTTCAAACAAGGTCAGAAATCTATGGGTAATACTGGACTCAGACTTAAATATTAATAGCCACATCAAATCAGTAACATCAGCAGCTTTTTACCATCTAAAAAACATTGCCAAGATCAAAAACATAGTGTCTAAAGCAGACTTGGAGATTCTTATCCATGCATTTGTCTCCAGTAGGTTAGACTACTGCAATGGCCTGCTCACAGGTCTGTCCAAACAGGCTGTAAAACAGCTGCAGTACATTCAAAATGCAGCAGCTCGAGTCCTGACTAGAACCAG